GTAGCTGGAATTGAAAGCTGAGCTTGACTTTGTGGCCTGCCTGAACTAATGCTATGCTTAATTTCTGTAAGGGCTTTTATTTGTCATATGTGACAAATCACTATCTTACAAACAAAGAGGTTTGTCAGGTTTACATTTTTCACTTGCATCTCTTCAGAGCAAAATATCGAAGGCAAAACTGAGATGTCAGAAGTTATTATAGTTTGTGTGTTTTCCTGTTTAGGTTTCACTGATTTTATTTGATATGCTGCATTGCACAAGTCTTTTGTCCAACAGAATTTTTTTTAAATTAATTTACCTTCACAATCAAATAGTGTGAATTAGAGAATATAAACTGTAAATACTACTGTTGTGTTTTTCCTTCAGAAAATGACAAGCCTATGAAGGGTCTCCGTCAGGAGGACCTGGTGAACCAGGATCTGATCACAGAGCTGAGGAAGGAGTTCAGCATGACATATGATGACTTCTACATGGTCCTCACCGACACTGACATAAGAGTCAAGGTAATCTCTCTGCTCTATAGCCATGTCTCATAGTTAGGGGATTGGATCTTCTAAATCATACCCCTACACTCCTGTCAGACGAACTCAGGTACCCTCAAATCATGTTCCAGATGTGTTTATTTAAACAGATTTTAAATTGGATGTTCTTTAGCAGATATTACAATCGTTTTATATATATTCCTAAATATAATCAAAGTTTCTTATATTAAGTGAAAAAAAGCCAATGTTGCTTGGCTAGAATTATTAAAACCAGCAGAAAAACTGAAAGACCGTAATGGTCCTAAAGATAAGTTGTGCTTGAAAACTCAATTATTTAAGATATTTAAATATTATTATTATTATTATTATTATTATTATTATTATTATATTAAAGAATTTGTACCTTAATCTAAGATTAATAATTAAGAAATATAATCTTACAATAAGACACAATTTCAGAATCATTCTTATTTTGGACAAGACCACTTTCTCTTAAACTGAGAAGTTGTGCAAGTGATCTCCCTAAAAGTAAAATAAATCTTGTTCCTCTGCTGGCATATTGCTGGTTACTGCTTCAATAGAGCTCAATGTTAGATATGTTCTATATATGTGATAAGACTAATTTCCCAGAAACAAGACTTTTTTACTTTCTTGAGATTCCTTTAATCATGCCATGATATCTTCACAATCTGAACATGACTTTAATTCCCTCTATGGTTAAAATACCGACCTCTTTCTCATGGTGTACTGGTTGATTCCCTTGTTCCCTTCCCTGTTCCTTCCCTGTTCTTCCCTGTTTTTCTGCTTTATTCGTGGCACTGCTGTTGGTTTCCACCCTCTGTTTACATGATCACCACCCTTCTGCCCAACACTTTCACTCTGTCTTCCTCTTTGAAGGTGGACTGACTTGTCCTTGTACTGACACCTCCTTCACTAAAACACTGTTTTAATTCACATAACATGACATTTGCCCAACACCTGGGTGTGTGTGTGTGTGTGTGTGTCGGTGTGTGTGCGTGCGTGTGTGTGTGTGTGTGTGTGCATGCCAAGGTAAATCACCAGGCTGTTTTTGGACAGATTCATCAAAGAGGCCAGTGTTCACCTCTCTGCTGACAGAGGCAGAGACAGGGGAGTCTGTGAGTGTACAAGGATGTGGGTGTGGGCATGAGACAGAGAGTGGCAACGAGAGCAGAGCGGAGGAGAGAGGTGTGAAAGAGCGAGGGCGAGCTGTGCAGCACATTCAGCGTATTTCGAGGAAGGTGTGAGAGTTAGTGACCAATGCAGTGAAGCATTTCGTTTTGATGCAAAATATGGATTCAGTTTCTCTGTGACACTCATGAGTCATCATGTATACTCAAATTTCAGGTACCGTAAGTAAACAAATCACAATTACTGCGTGGTTTCTCCCTACAATATGCGCAAGTTAGAATGCAAGCTGTCCTAAGAAGTGTACAATTTTCTACTTTTACCTTTATTTCCTATTATGCTAGGTAGCCTAGTAGTCACTCAATTTTTCCACACTAAGAGCGCTAACTATGTAGGGGCCTTCATCAGTAACTGATTGCAGGATTTGTGTGTAAGTTTACATTTATAAAGATAAAATATTCTTTTTAATGCACTGATTGATACTTGTGTGTAGGTTGGATATATAAGCCCTACACACAATGTTACAGATCTGTTTGACATTTTTCATGGGCAAGTAGCATACATCCCACCCCCAGTTCCAGAGAACGGTTCAGTGATTGAGTGAAAAAACGACTGAGTGTGCAGTAGCTGCCAGGCTCTGGACTGAGGTCTGGACTCGACTCGAGTCACTCATTGAAGTCCTTGTTTGAGACATTGATTCCCGCCCATTCACAGGTTTTCCTGCTTCCTATGTTTTGAGCAACTGCACTATTGTTGCAGGCAGCGTGAGCACTACCTTACAATAACAGCTGTAGGCAGTATGAGTGGGAAAAGTCGGGGGTTTCATGTCTTTCACGAGTAGTGCGCACTTGATCAACAAGCTGACCAGGTACATCTTGGATACTAAAAACTGTCATTTAAAAAGATTTGTCCATTTTGGAGTGCCCCGGTTACAGCGTTATATTTGTTTAATCTTTATTATTAATTATATTTTGAAGAAAGAATATATGCAAGCTTGCTCATAATCAACCAATCGAGACTGAACTGGAAAAGGTCCATTTAGATCGGCTCCTGCTAGAAAACTTCACTTTATCTGAAACTGTTGCATAATAGCATGTTTCATCAAAGGCACTGCAAATAATAACCTCAAAACTAGAAATTCATTATTTACCTGATGCCGTGGCATATTGTCCGTCTTGGAAGATTTGTGTGGCTGGCTTACATTTTCTTGCATGTGTTAGATATTCATGCTGAGAATGCCTAGCATTTTGTAAATTAAACGGAATACTGTGTTATGTTACGCCTTGTGCTTCTTCCCAGAAGTTATAAAGAATGCGTGTGATGTGGCAAAGGCCATACCACATCTACTAACATGTTCCAAAACTTCACTTTATCACTTTATGGGAAACAGCTTCAGCATTGTTTTAAGCAATAGAATTTCATTTTGATATCCTCTGTGTTGTTTCCACAGACATATTGATGTATTTATCCTGTGGCTTCACTGACTGGTTGAATGACTGATTCTTGTTGATGCTTTCTTTTTTTTCAGCAATCCTACGAGGTTCCGATTGCAATGAAGGCGGTGTTAGACTACATCGACACCTTCTCCTCCCGCATCCGAGAGATGGAGCAGCAGAAGAGAGACGGGGTTGTTTGTAAGAAAGAGGATAAGCCCAGATCGTTGGAGAACTTCCTCTCCAGGTAAAGTTGTTTCCAGAGGCTTTAAATACACTACATGGGTATTAATATCCTGCTACAACAGCCTGCTCTTCTGGGATGGCTTCCCACAAGGTTTTGGAACCTTGCTTTGCTCCTGTCCAACCACAAGAGCATTAGTCAGGCTGACCACTGATGTTGGGTGATAAGACCTGGCTTGCAGTTCCAGTTCTTCCCAAAGATGTTGAATGGGGTGGAGATCAGGGGCCTCATGTACTAACGTTGTCACAAAATTCGTGCGTACGCCATTGTTCACGTTCACGTTCGGATGTACTAAAAGTGAACTGAACGTGAGAATGTGCGGTCCTCCACGGCAGCTTCATTGCTGGCGTACGTAC